AAAGTTGGTTATCTAGTAAATGATTCATTTTAAACATTGAAATTAAAAATCTGAATAACTACACTAGACGAAATATAATTTAAATAGATTTGCAGAATAAATCTTGGAGTAAATAACTCAAAGATGCAAGTAGAAAAAACATTACTAAATGATGATTTACTGCAATGGAGGCCAAACTTCTTAGCAGGTCTCACATTAGTCTGCCCTCTTCCAATGCCACTAATTCCCTTCCCTGATCTTTTGCTCAGCCTTCTGCTCCTTGCCCTGTGCTCCCCAACCAAGCTGCTTCCTACCTTGTGCTCCCTGCCTGATCCAAGACTCTGCTGTCTGTTCTGTGTGTCACTGTGCTGACTGTTCCCTCCCCAGTCTCCCGAATGCCACACACAAATGGCTGCCTGTGACACTTTTGGCATCATGCCACAAGCTGGCCACTCCTGATTTACTCTTTGATTCTAATTGTGATTAAACTTGGCAATCTCCCTGCTTAGGTTACTCTCCCCCTTCTGCTGAGTCGCTGTCCACATCATCCTCCCTGAACCTCCACCCACTAGCCCTTTCATCTCTGCCGTTCTAACCAGCTCTCCAGGTACTTTATTTCTTGTCTCTCTTTTTTCCCTCCAGGACTCCTGATCCCCCTCCTTCTGACTTTTAGTCACACCCAGAGAATGGAAAATATTCCCAAAATTACCAACCAATCCCTCAAAGAAAGCAAAGAAAAAGAAAAGAAAAATTAGACTAACTTAGCATTTGCAAGTCAGCATTTTGTTTGTATGCTGCATCCCATTTCCTTTGCCTCTTGTATAGGTAGCAAACATTGTGTGTCAACAACTCTCTTTCTCACTGTATTTCAATTGTCCTCAGTCCACAATACCCTCTAATGTTGCCTATAAAGCAGAAAATCTAAAACAGGATGATGGAAGAGCAAGGTACCTTTAGGAAGTTACTTGCTTAGTACTGATGCCAATGACCCAGTGAACAGTGCTTAGCATAAAGGGGCCCTGGTCTTAAAGTGCCACTGGGCATCACTATAATAGCATCTAAAAACCTTCCACAAAATCAAGCAGTAGTGACTGAAGCTCACTGTTGCCTCACTTAATATTTAGTTACCTTGTCTCAGCACTGAAATCCCCAAACCCGAATTAGGCACCTAGTTTTCCCATACATCGTATGGAATGTAGGAATCTAGGTCTAACATTCACAGCAGCAAGCACACTGAGCTGGGGAACATCTAAACTAGCCAATGGGAAACAGAGAAAAGATGGGTGTCTGAAAAACCTCCTCTCTGAAATAAGGAACCTCCTGTGTGACCATCCAAGAAGAGGGTTCACAGCCACAAACATCTCCTAAAGATTAGTCACCTATGCCAGCGGTGGCAAACCTGCAGCACATATACCACAAGTAGCACTGGCAGCCTCTGTGCAGAGCATGCAACAGACTGGGGAGGGGCAAATAGCACAGCAGCAGGTAGGGCAGGGAGCAGAAAGAAGAGCACCAGATCAGGCAGAAGGGGATAGGAGTGGTTTTCACACAGGGTACAGGGCCAATTTGTGCCACATCTGCCAAAAAATCCCTTTTGGAAACAAGACACTTAATCTTGTCTTTTCAAACAACCAGAAGAGACGATAGTGGTGGTTCTCCTCTTCTAATAGCACAGTGATCAAAGCAAGGGGAAAGGATTACCTTAAGTGCTCAAGGCTGCAAGTGGGAGAGGAACAGTGGGGAAAAAAACTCTGGTCCCTGTTCACTGTCCCTTTCAGCATCTACTCTCTGCCACTGTGAGACATGGGACACTGGGCAAGATGGACCCATGGTCTGACCCAGTAAATGACAATTCTTATGTTATTTCTTAGGGCAATATCTTTTATTGGACCAACTATATAGTTGGGACACAGTCAAACAAGCTTTTGTATGCAAGGCATTCTTCATCAGGTCTGAGCACTGAAAGCCAACAAAGCATAGTAAAAATTATATATTATTAATACTACTACTACTACTAAATTTATTATTTTAAAACAGTTGTAAGAAGGGAGAGGGAATTTCCAGGCGTAGCAGACACAAGTAGCTGAAGAAAAGAAGTTGATTACTGTGAGAGAAGCCTATCAAAAAGGAGGTGGGTGTTTCTTTCCTGTGGGGAGAACTTAAACATCAGGTAGGCTAGGACAGGCCACAAAACCAATATTAGTGTTAAGTCCTTGGTTCCTAATGTTCAACCAGCTTATGAATTTTTGTTCCCAAGTGCGCACCTTTTAAAGGTGTTGGGTAGATCACACTTGAGTATGAGGACACTGGAGGTCACAAATGGAGAGGTTGTTCTGTGATAAATGTGCTCCTAATGCATATGAGCACCTGTCCTTTATACTTGTCCTGTGAGAATTTGTTCTGGTGCCTAGTTGCTGTTTGGTTAATGCAGGGATGTCAAGTTCATCCAGCCCCATCAACCAGATCAGGTCACTGAGCTGTTCTGCAGACCAGATCAGGCCACGCAGGGTATCCCATGCAGCACGCACCCCATGCACAGTAAGCCCCAGAGCAAGGCCAGTGTGTGCTGCATGTGGGGATGAACCGGCCATACATAAAATCTGACCCATGCACCAGACAGGCTCCATGCCCTACAAAACTTCAAGAACTCTCTGCCTTAAATAATGCAAATAATAAAAACATGAAAAGAATTAAACATCATCAGCAACATACTATTAAAAGTTTCTTAAGACCACAGAAACTATTCATTTCACTTACTGACCCTCATATTTCCACAAGAGAGCATTTTCTAAACCAGCCTAGCCCTGGCAGTAGGTAGCTAATGCCTAAGCACAGCTGCAAGTCAGAAACTTCATATTCCTCCGCTTATGTTTTCTGAAAGGCTCAATCTGTTAAGACTCTCAGGGCACATGTGACAAACATTGATAGGATCAGTTTCCACACGCAAAAAGCCATATTTTAAGAGATGATCAGAGAAACAGTGGTGATAGTAACCCTTATCTAGAAAGAGGAAGACCTCAGCTCTATTTTCTGATCTGGAGGACATTCAAACTCCTATCTCCCCCCACCTCCTAAGACTATCCTATCCAGGGACTAGACAATATTCTGGGAGGAGTGCTCTTCTGCACACT